TGAGGTTTTTCTTCTGGTTAATGCTTTCTGAGCTGATCATTTGAAACCAGGACTAAACTGTTCAGATACTTAAGACTAAACCTTTTGCTCTATTTTTTAGAACTTGTGGAAAGTTTATTATGCATATTATTGCTCAGTTATCTACAAACTGAGGGGTTTCAGGTCTCTGTGATCAAACCTGACAGCGATGCATCTGGGCCACCTGCTCAGCAGCACCTCCACTCTCCAAATTTCCTCTCCAGGCGTCCCTTCCTCCCACCAATTTCTCCTGGACTCCAGACGGCCCAAACAAGTCAGAGCTATTATAGCTCCTATGAGGGGGATGGAGAACAATGGAGAAGTGCAGACAGCACAACCTCCAAGGAGCTGCAGCTCGCCCGAAGCTCCTGGGAAATCTTGCTGGAGCTTGGACCTGAGGGTGGCCGTTCTGCTGGTGACTCTGGCTGCAGCTGTTATCCTGCTGCTGCTCTACAAACTACTACAGCTGAGGCACAGGTGAGGAAATGACGACTCAATTCAGAGTTTAAACACTTTTTCCATTTAAACGTTTCACGCTCACATTTTCTAATATCTCAGTCGATTAGACTTTTAAATATTTAGGCATAAAACCCGCATAATGTTTAATCAGTATCCAAGGAAGCCAAATATCAGTTGATTATTTTAGTAATGACTAAAATATGAGTTGCTTTTTTTATTAAAGTGCTTGTATCTTAGACTTTATAACAGTTTATGATACCATATTAAAGTAAAAAGAACTTTTGGTGGTTTTGTTTATCTAAGTCAGTTTTAATAGTCAGGTTTGTGCAGAAAACAAGGGATGTAACTTTGGTTCCCCTTTGCTTAAAGTGAACATATTTTAAGTCTAAATGTACAATACAGGAAAATCGAAATACTTTTATTTTAAATAGAAATAAATAAATGATTCAACGAAAGAGAATATCTGGTTTGGTAAGTGAGAATGATGGTATTGATCTGCGTTCGTCAGAGAGAGCCAAGAGGAGGAAACTTTTCATAAGCAGCCCTCTGAATGACGGCTTTTCAATTTGGCGTAAAGCTACTTAAATTTTTTTATTGTGAAGTTTAATTAATTGCGGATATAGTTACCTGAGAACTGCTTCAGGATTTATGTGATAAATGATGTTTTTGTGTGTTACAGACCCTGCTGCGTGCACTGAAGTGCACATGACAATAAAGCAGTGAATCACAATCTATTTATTTTTATTTATTGTATTTTAAATAGGCGCATAGCCTCATAGGTCTTTTGTCCAAAAAAAAAAATAAATAAATAAAATAATGTCACAGCACCCCCTGTTCAAAAACACTCCACTGGCCCTGCTCTGAAGCACCGGCCTAAAAGCAGCAGTCTAAATAGCGTTTGTCCAGGATGTGTGGGGTCTGCAGAAAGTTAGCAGGTGGGATTCTGTAGTTTTTCTTTTAGTATGGTGACTAAAAGAAAAACTTCACTGAACAAAACCCACTCTTTAAAGCACCAATAAGTGTTGCTACTGATGATCAGTTTGGCCAGTGGTCTTGGGTCGGATGTGGCACGCCATATGCCTTTGCAGAGATATGGGTTTTGCTTTGTTTGTCATTTTAAGGTCAGTGAGTGTAGGGGGGGGCGAGTCCTCTGATGTTACACAGGTTCTGTCAACCAGCTGGTGAAGATTCTCAGTCATCCAGGTCATAGTCATTCCAAAAAAAGTAAAAAAAAAAAAA